ATTCTATTCTATTCCTTATTCCATTTCATATTCCATATTCTATTCTATTCTATTCTATTCTGTTCCTTATTCTATTCTATTTCATTCTATTCTATTTTATTCTGTTCCTTATTCCATTTCATATTCCATATTCTATTCTATTCTATTCTATTCTGTTCCTTATTCTATTCTATTTCATTCTATTCTATTTTATTCTGTTCCTTACTCCATTTCATATTCCATATTCTATTCTATTCCGTTCCTTATTCTATTCTATTCTATTTTATTCTATTCTATTCTATTCCATTCATTATACCATTTCATATTCCATATTCTATTCCTATTCTACTCCGTTCCTTATTCTATTCTACTCTATTCTTATTCTATCATGAAGGACTTGGAAATTGTTTATAATTTATCAACAACTTTATAATTTCATCTGGTCGTTAGGACTCTCCGAGAGTCGTTGAGGCCACCTGGTGGTCGGAAGGGAGTCAGAAATGAACCTCCAAGCGGCCTCAACGACCCTCTAAAAGGATGCAAAGGACCAGCAGTGGGCAAGGAGTATCAATCCTTCTATTCCTCACCATCCGGTCAGAGCCGAGGAAGCTTCTCGGATGAGAAGCGAAATGTCTTTAAAGAAAAACCAGGAAGTCCAGCTGCCTCTGGGAAAAACCTCTCTTGTTTGATCTTCCTAGTGAAACTTGAGATAAAGGATCCCTTCATCAAGAGGTGGGTTGAGAAGGGCCTGGCCAGCATCAAGGACTACGCCGCAAAAGCAGAAGACAAGCAACTGGAAATGAAAATTGCGATTGTGGAGAAATACCGGGAACGCATTCCGGAGCTGTTGGACAGGATATCCCGGTGCCACGTCCCGCGTCCAGAAAATGCAGGTAAATAAATATGTGCGAACACCCAGATCCAGACACGTATGGAATTCAAGCTAGCTTCTTTATTATTGTCGGCCTGTAATACAGGAGATCCTCGACGTAACAACCATTCATTTAGCGACCAAAGTTACGAACCTCGTGGCTTCTCCTCTTCTGTGTTTTAGATTGCATCCTAGGGACTGTGCACAAGGCCAAAGGGCTGGAATTCGACACCGTCAGAATTGCTGGTGACTTTGTCAACATCCCATTAACATTGCCCAATCCTGGAATACGTTCATGGGACCCACCTAGTGAGTATAATCTTCCTTCCTTCCTTCCTTCCTTCCTTCCTTCCTTCCTTCCTTCCTTCCTTCCTTCCTTCCTTCCTNCTTCCTTCCACTTCATTTTTTCTTCATTCTTTCTTTCCTTCCTCCTTCTCTCCATTTCACCCTTTTTCCCTTCCTCCTTCTTTCTCCTCCCTCCCTCTCTTTTTCCTTTCTTCCTTCCTTCTTCTTTCCTACCACTTCATTTTTTCTTCATTCTTTCTTTCCTTCCTCCTTTCTATTTCACCTTTTTTCCTTCCTCCTCCTTTCTCATCCCCCCCCTCTCTTTTTTCTTCTTACCTTCCTTCTTTCCTTTCTCCCTCCCTCCGTCCTTTCATTTCACTTTCTTGCTAATTCTTCTCCCTCCCCCCCTCCCCCTTTCCTTCCTTCCTTCCTTCCTTCCTTCCACTTCATTTTTTCTTCATTCTTTCTTTCCTTCCTCCTCCTTTCCATTTCACCCTTTTTCCCCTCCTTCTTCTTTCTCCTCCCTCTCTTTTTCCTTCCTTCCTTCCTTCCTTCCTCTTTTCTTCCACTTCATTTTTTCTTCATTCTTTCTTTCCTTCCTCCTTGTTTCCATTTCACCCTTTTTCCCTTCCTCCTCCTTTCTCCTCCCTCCCGCTCTTTTTCCTTCTTACCTTCCTTCTTTCCTTCCTCCCTCCTTCCTTTCATTTCACTTTCTTGCTAATTCTTCCTCCTCCCTCCCTCCCACTCCCCCTTTCCTTCCTTCCTTCCTTCCACTTCATTTTTTCTTCATTCTTTTTTTCCTTTCCATTTCACCCTTTTTCCCTTCCTCCTTCTTTCTCCTCCCTCCCCCTCTCTTTTTCCTTCTTACCTTCCTTCTTTCCTTTCTCCCTCCCTCCTTCCTTTCATTTCACTTCCTTGCTAATTCTTCCTCCTCCCTCCCTCCCACTCCCCCTTTCCTTTCCTCCTTCCTTCCGTTCACCTTTTCCTTCCTTTGTCCTTCCTCCTCCCCCCTCCTCCCCTTTTCCTTCCTTCCTCCCTCCTTCCTTACTTTCATTTCATCTTCCTCCCTCTTTCTCCTTCCTTAATTCCTCCTTCCTCCCTTTTTCCTTCTTTCCATCCTCCCTCCTTCCTCTCTTCCATTTCACCTTTTTCCCTTCCTCTTTTCTCCTTCCTTCTTCCCTTCCTCCATCCCGCCTCCTCCCTTTTTCTTTCTTGCTTTCCTCCCTCCCTCCCTCCATTCCTCCTTCCTTCTCTCCCTCCCCCTCTCCTGACAACCTCTACTGTGTGACAGCCCTTTAAATCCAGGAAGATTCACTGTGTTGTGCAGCCTGTTGCAAACACACTGAATTCTGCAGACACCTCTTACTATTTGAAGCACATTAAGGAGCCCCAAAATACAGACAGATGATTGCAACTGTGCATCGGACTACAACGCCCATCTCACAGGGCTCTACATATTGTTCCTTTTTGTCTTCTTTTCGTTAGGGTCTTAAAGCCTTTGGCCTTGAGAAAATTTCTGACCTCTGGAAGCTGCTTCATCCTGAACGTGAGTTGTCTCAAGCGCTATTTCTGTAGTCGTGCAAGTTGTGTACAGGTAGTCCTCGACATATGACCATAAGGGAGCCTGCCCACCACGTTCATATATAGTAAGAGTCTCAAATGGCTCAGTCATTTACAGCCTTGATTCACTTAACAACGGGGACAAGGAGGGTCGTAAAACGGGGCAAAACTCACTTAACAAATATCTTGCTTCACAGCAGCAATTTTTCATCTCAATTGTGGTCGTAAGCCGAGGACGACCTGTATAATAGGAAGTCAAGAAGACATTATGGAAGAATTCCTACAACTGCTAGGTGTAAAATACGAGCTCTGCTTACGCTCCAATCGGGGGTCCGATTTCTGGTGTCACTTCCTCTTCTCCATTCTCCGACCCTTTTGAGATCAACGAAACTCCATTTTAATGTATGCCGATTAGGGTACATTCAAAGTGACAATAAATTTATTATCCTATTCTCTTGATGGCAAACCTGTGGCACGCGTGCCAGAGGTAGCACATAGAGCCCCCTCTCTGGGCACGTGCGCCTTCGCCCTCAGCTCTGCTGCGTTTCTCGCCATCGTTTGCGGGACTAAAGAAAGCTGCGTGAAACAGCCTTCCTCCTTTGTCGCGGTGTGTTCGCTGTCGCTGCCTTGAGCTTGTCTCTTTCGATCACGCCTCTTTGTCGCCACGCCTCTTTGTCCTTATTCTATTCTATTCTACTCTATTCCTTATTCTATTCCATTTCATTCTATTCTATTTTATTCTGTTCCTTCTTTCATATTCCATATTCCATATTCTATTCTATTCTATTCCTTACTCCATTCCATTTCATATTCCATATTCTATTCTATTCTGTTCCATATTCTATTCCGTTCCTTATTCTATTGTATTTCATTCTATTCTATTTTATTCTGTTCCTTATTTCATTTCATATTCCATATTCCATATTCTATTCTATTCTATTCATTATTCCAGTTCATATTCCATATTCTATTCTATTCTGTTCAATTCTGTTCCATTCCTTATTCTATTCTATTCCTTATTCCATTTCATATTCCATATTCTATTCTATTCTATTCTGTCCCTTTCCTTATTCTATTCTATTTCATTCTATTCTATTTTATTCTGTTCCTTATTTCATTTCATATTCCATATTCCATATTCTATTCTATTCTATTCATTATTCCAGTTCATATTCCATATTCTATTCTATTCTGTTCTATTCCGTTCCTTATTCTATTCTATTCCTTATTCCATTTCATATTCCATATTCTATTCTATTCTATTCTGTCCCTTTCCTTATTCTATTCTATTCCTTATTCCATTTCATATTCCATATTCTATTCTATTNAAAAAAAATCATAAAACTATTATTGGTATAGAAACAAGAATTGTGCACAGAGAACAGAATCACACCTTATTTGTCCCAATAAATAAAATGCTAAGATGTTGAATAATAATAATGTTAAAAGGTGGTCAAAATGTGTTATTTGAAATATACAATACTATACTGAAGTCCCTGTTGAACCACTAGGTGGCAATATTATATAATGTAAAATACCATAATAGAACTGCAAAAAAAAAAATGATTTCTCAGAAATTCCTTGGCAAGATTTGATGGAAGATAAGAGTAATTCTATGGCTAATGAATGATCCCTTTTAAAAATACCTACAGCCTATCAGTTTTATAGCTACACCATACCCCAATGAAAACTGCATGAAGGGAAATACCAGTGGGTCCCAGATTTGCCTATTGCTGGATAGGAAAAAAAAAAGTGGGAGGAACATACTTCTCTTGCAGAGATTTAAAAAAAAAGTCCATTAGTGTGCTGTCTGTATCTTGATGTGGATACCTTGTGCAATATCCTCCCAAGGTGAGACTGGCTCCCATGCTTGATGTTCTTCCAAAAAATCCCTCAAAATATGACTACATCAACAGGCTTGGTGATCTCAAGGAACTAATTGAGGTAGCTGCATTGTCTATAATCCTCTCTCACAGATGAAGGCAAATATATGTGTTCCAGGATAACGTTGTAGGATCCAATCTGAGTCAGTCACCAGAACCAAAGATCTAGTCTTCTGAGCTTTAGGACTTGTGCTGGGCTCCTTCCTCGGGGAACCAGCTTATCGGGTACTTAGGAGCAGCACAGCCAACAGCCAATAACTTAATAACTGACCATCAACACTCCTATCAATAACTAAAAAGCCACACATAACCAGGCACCAAATAGATACTAGGCATAGAATAGTATAAAGCAGTGATGGCTAACCTTTTTCTAAAGGTGTGCCAAAATTTTGTGTGCATGCTATCACACATGCACACGTGCTCATCCACTTATGCATGTGTGCATGATACACACACCCCGCACATGCGCACGTGACCACCTCCCATGCGGGATGGTGATTTCGTCCTTCCCAGGCTCTGGAGGCTTTCCTGAAGCCTGGGGAGGGCGAAAATGACCGAGAGCAGAGGGGTATAGTGCCGGCAAATATGGCTCCGCATGCCACCTGAGGCATGCATGCCATAGATTCACCATCACGGGCATAAAGCATGCATTCTGGTAGATAGGGGGTTGGCAACCCGTGGCTCTGGAGCTGCATGTGGCTCTTTGATCCATCTGCTGTGTCTCCCTGCCGAACCAGTAAACTTCTGCAGTTCGGCAAACCGGCTGATTCTACCACTGGCTGGCCCCGCCCCTCTCCCCTCCCTTCCCAGTCACTCCTTGCCTGGCCTGAGAAGGTAAGAGCAATGGCAGGGGATGGAGAAGCAGCTGGGTCTCATTTCTTGTTGGGTCTCATGGGCACTTCTTCCGGCCTTTGCATGCCTTGGTCACTTGAGTAAAGAAGCTCAGGGCAGCAGAAAAAGAGGGTTGGCCCCGCTGAAGCTTGCATGCCCACCCTGAGGGTCAGGCTTGGAGAAAACCAGAGTGCCTTTGCCAAAGATGCTCGCCCATTAGCCGGTCAACCTGCCTGCTCCGCTCGCCTTTGCTGCACTTTGCCTGAGCCCAGCCACTCGCTTGAGAGTCTCCCCGCTTGTGCATGCCCTCCTGGCCCCAGCACAACTGGCCAAGGGGTCGTGTGAGAAGGAGGAGAAGGGTCATCTTCGGGGAAGCCTCTGCTACAGCTTGCGTTTGCTCTCCCCCCAGCCCAGATTTCTGAAAAGTTGCCAAAAAGAAAGAAAAGGAGTAGCGAAGAGCCCCAAGGAGAACTCGCTGGGTTGGCCCAGCCTTGGCTTTCCGAGAGAGAGAGAAGACACACACATACACACACACACACGCACACACACACACAGATACAAAGAGAGAGAGAGACAGAGAGACAGACGAGGGAGAAGGAGAGAGACAATGAGAGAGAGGTAGGGAGGAGAGAGAAAGAGGGAAACAGAGAGAGAGAGAGGGAGAGAGAGAGGGAGATACAGAGACGAGGGAGGAGGAGAGAAACAGTGAGAGAGAGAGAGAAGGGAGGTAGGGAGGAGAGAGAAAGAGGG